ACAAAACACGCAACATTCATACGTGCACCACGGGGTTCACTTATCCCAGCGACAGGAAATTGAAGCAAATAAATGTGTGTGCATTTGTGAATAGTCATCCTAAATGCCCCTGCTTTCTTGAAACGTCGAAGCAAACGGAGCGCATCCAAAAATGTTTGTCTCCCCCGAGGGCCGTTTTTCGAAACATCCTCAGCAGCGTTCTTTTTCTCTAGGGATGCGACTTCGGTCGGTTTATTTTGTCAGGTGATGATGACAAAGACCTTATGTAAATAAGTATAAACCGTACACAGCCTTTAGGAGGCCGGATCCTCCAGAAGGGAGTCCCTTAAGCGCTCGTTTATTACAGAGCCCACACAACGCTCAAAACAGAACCAAGATCAGATTCCTCAAGATATTTCAATCACACATACAAGTCGCACACGCAAGACAAGTCCTCAGGAAGGAAAGTCAGTAAAATCAATAATCGCTAGCAACCGTACGAAGGCAAGGCTACTCGCAGAGTGACGGCTTCGGAGCCTCGCTGAATTCGATGTAGATACAATTATAATAATTATCTTGTCTCACCCGGTTCCGCCAGGCGGTAACTGGGTGCCATGCAGGACCTTGGTTCCGGACGCGTCGTGTCTTTTTCATATGTGGAGCCCGAGCGAGGATGCTACGCTCGGGCCTCTCCACGCACTCTCTCGACCCCACAAGTTGCTTCTAAATTTCTTGTCAGAGGTTTTTCAAAATTTAGAGGCATCAATAATAATGACGTTGATCCAACCTAAATATTTTTTTGTGATGTCATACATCTGTGAATCATGCGGGAAGCCTTGGTCTCAACTTATGTTTTTAGTGCGAACAGTATGCCAATCACTTGATCTTCGCGATGCGTAAGAAACCCTGTTTTTCTCGATAGAAATGTCCTACAAAAACTCATTTTGAGAACCCGAAATATTTACCGAGAGAAGAAAAACAATAGGTGGAGAAATCGGAATGCAGTACAGCAGTATTGTAGATGTTGATGGTGGAAATGATCGGGTATCTATACAGCTTAGCGTAAATTTCACTCCTAACTTGAAACTCTCACGCGATCATAAATCAATCTAGAGATTGGAGTCAAAATCTTGCAATTGGAGTAGTACCGAAAGTAATTTTTTGATTAATTGAAAAGAATAGGATGATGGTTGAAATCGAAGATTTTTTGCAGTGTTCTTCAGGATCATGTTTCTTCAGTGTGGTGAACAACACGTGAGAGAACCAGCGCAGACTTCGCCTCTACTCTCCTGTCCATGGCCGGTCCTGAAGAAAATTTTTTCATTTTTCACTCCATTTGAAATAATGGGAAATATTGTCCCTGTATGTCGCGATTTTTTCCAATTGATCCAAGTCGGAGATATTTGGATTAATCTCGACTTCCGTGTCGTTCATGGCTCCTCGTATGTGCCATTCGGACATCTGGATGACTTCTGCAAATTTCTTATTAATGGGTAAGTGACTTTAACGGGTTATCTATAGTCATTATAGTCATTAAAATGTGGATGAGTCTGAAATGCATTTCAGGGCAGAAATATTCAAAAGGCTTTCTTTTAGAAGTTATTTTAAATAGAAAAGCGCTACCATAGCAAAATATATTTATTGATTCCTGTGGACCCTTGGTTGACAAACTCAATTGGTTCCAGAAAAAAGTTTTTGACCAAATTTGATTTTCCCATAGACTTCAATGGAGAACCAATTAATCTGTTTCTGACCCCCCCCCCCCTTCCTATTTATAATTCATTTATAAAAATACTCAGGACAAATATCTAATCAGAATGTGCCCTTGTTGCAGCTTGTGTGTCTTCAGTCTTTTGTAGGGTTGGATACTTGGATTGAATTATGTATGATGAAAGCAATCCTCAAAAATCTTCAGACCCAGACAAACCTTCACATTTGAACAAGATAAACATCACCAGAAAATGATACAATTTTACAAGCAGTAATTAAAACGCTTTTGCATCAGTTGACCACTGTTGGAACTGCAAGCAATCCAAATAGATATGTTTTCCTTTCTTTTCTGAACGGTTGAACCCTTCTTCTGGAATTTTTTCATTGATTGTAAAGGGATTCACTTGATTTTCTGCGCTGGATGTTTTCAACTGCAAACATGTGTCTGATATTGAGCTTCCTTATTGGAGCAGAAAACTTTCCTTGCAATCCAGGGAGTTTTTTTTAAATCTGATTTCTTCTACACTTTCACAAAAGTTGACAGTTTTTTTGGAGTGTTTGAGAAAATTTTGTGTGGAAGTGAACTCTCTCTGACACTGCCAAAAAAGTGAATGCTTGGCTTAATTTTTTCTGAGCTAGAAACTTGCTGTGCTTGGATTTCTGAGCTAGCTTCAATAGCTGCAAATAAATCAGCAAAGCTCTTCAGTGCATTGTCTCTCAACTGACATCAACTGTCATTTGTCTTTTATTAATACTGTATATTCCAAAAGCATATTTTGCATTTTGTAGGCATTAAAAGGTTAGCCTTGTTCTTGTGAGAAGCTCATCATGAGTGTCTCATGGACGAGCACAGTGCCAATTATATGGTTTCATTTAACAACACAAATCATAAAAAATCAATAATTTTGTAGAATAACAAAAAATTGCAGCTGAAGTTTTTGAAAATTTAACTTTCACATATACTGTATTTGAGTGCCAGGAGGCAAACTCTTCCATAAAAATTGAGAAATAAATTAATTGGATTTTGGGTTTGTACCCAGAAGTTCAGTGTGTCACAAGAAAATATTTAATTTTTAAATCTAGAATTTTTGCCTGGGAACAAAAGTTTGCTAGATTTTGTTGTATTAAGTGAGGGATGTTTCTCGAAGGACAAAAATTTGGTAACCGAGCGGTTTTTTTATTTTTACCGAGGGTTGAGTGTATTTTCTTCGAACAGTGTCCCTGGCTTATTGCTAGTGATACACTGAATTAGCTTCCCCAACAAAACTGAATCATCAAATTTCTTCGAAGTGAAATTGTCTTCAGTGTGTTGCGCATTTGTAAAATATTTTAATTTCCTATAATCTCCTTTCATTCGAAATTTCCTCAGACGTGTTCAAAAGCTCACACTGGACTTCAGGGTTCATGATGCACTGGATGACATTGTTCCACGGAACAGCTTGAGTTCCTTCTTCAAACATTTTGATTGGCAGACTTTGAAGGCGTTGCAGATAAATTGCTTGAAGGCCAATGATGATCTATTCTATAAATTCCTTTTGGAAAATGGGGAAGTACTTTCCCGGTTGGAAACGCTGCTGGTTCATGATGACATCATAGGGACCTTGTTCCTGCGTGTGGCTGCAACTGGAAAACTTGTGCTTCCTGCTTGTCAGAAAGTTGCCCTAAGGTGTTCGTTCAAGAAACTGCGAACCGTCGATATGAGGCTGGTTTTTCCCAGGTTGGTTCAGTATTTTGATGCAGTGGGATCTTGAGCAACCAGCTGTGCCCAAGGAACAAACAATTTCTATACGAAAACTAACTCAGGTTTGGCCACCATTGCAAAATTGGATTTAGTAATGAACCTTGAGTTGAAAAAATCTCCTCGCAATAAAATGAAGAAAGTTTTCGTGGCATTCTATTGCCAAACAGGAATGTCAAATGTTATGATGACCAAAATTTGAAGGAAGATCCAAGTTATAGTAGAATTTGAATCATCTTTTTGCTTTTAATGTTGCTCTTATTGTTTTCAATTGAAACTAATTTTTAGCTGATGTGTTCTTTGTGTTCTCTTTTTTCAATTTTTCAAAAAAAATGTCCCTACTTCATTGTAATTTTCCTTTGTGCTGGAACCAATAGAATGATTTCTCATAGGAAGCCATGCCTGAGGATACTTAGATCATCACTTTGAAGAACAAACCAACCGCTGATATGGAGTAGGTTCATTCCACATGAGGCCCTACAGTACAGCGAAGTTGCTCTTTAGTTGAACATGAAAAGTTTTTCTCGATCAAAACAGTGAAGGGTTTTCTTGAACTGATCCTTCGTAGGAAGCTGCTTTTAATGAGATAATCAAATTTTGTGGATGAGTCCCTGAGAAAAATAGTGCCTAATGTTTTTTGGTTTCAGATTGAAAGAACTCCATCTGATTCACACCGAATCTTCTGCTTCAGCCATGTATGAGCGGCTTTTCAACATGTCTCTTGCAACTCCAACAATCCAGGAGTTTCTTGCACGTTTCGGCTCTCATGTGCTCTCAAGGTTGCATGGTTATCATTTGCCAGTCAAAATGGATAAGAATGGTTGGATCCTGGCTCAAATAGAGGGTACTTTTATGAACCTTGAGTCCCTGGGCATGTGCGGGGACTTTTTTGACCATGTGCCAGCAGCTGACAAAAATCGTCCCATTTTTCCGAAGGTTTGGGATTCTATTTTATCGTTCTCAGAATGTGGTGGATAGCTTCATCTTGGAATACGTTTAGTCAAATACATTGAGTCGAACCTCCCAAATTTAAATTCACTGTGACTTCGTGACAAATTCCTTGAAGACCACTGCATTTTAAACCCTTCCTGACTCACAACTTTTTGGCTTAATCCTATCTTGGTTGAATTTTATAATGCCTTTGCACATTTTAGAATACCCATTTCTAGAAACCGAAAAAGCAGCTGCAAATTTTTTTTGTGCTGTACAATGTGTTTTTTTAAGGGATTATGCTGCTTTTTCGGATAGGATACTTGAATAATAAACAGTCAGAATAAATGAGTCAAATAATAAATGTCCTTGATAATCTTGGAACAATGAAGTCCTATAGTACAGTAGCTTGCTCAAAAACTCACAGGAAGTCCAAGATTTTTAGAGGTCCGAATTTGACTGAGGCTGGTTCAACTGTATTCTATCACACCTTTTCTCATATTCTTTGTTTTAAATGATAACCCCAACACTATTTTTTGTATCCTCTTTTTGTCAATTGTTGTAAGGAGTGAGTTCGCGGTTTTGCTTTTCAGGATCTAAATTGTATCGTTGATGTCCGGAATTGTTTTCCACTCAGAAAAATATTTTCAGCCTAGAATTTGCTCAGAATGAACATGCCGGTTGAAGAAAAACACAGAAACTTGAAAATGAATTAAGTTTTTACCTTTGAAATGGAGAGGGTGATGAAACAGTATTTAATTGAACACTTAACACCCTTTTGACTTCATTCGGTGTCCTGATATACGGTATCTTTGAGTAATGTGATACGTGAACTACAAACCGTTGTGTAATTTTCTCTTTGTTGGAATTTATGCAGTTGAAATCGCTGTGGCTGAAAGACGTCTCTCTAATGAAAATATTCCATCATATACGGATGCAAACGTCGCTTGAAAAGCTGTGGATCAGAAATTATCGTACTGAGGCAACCGAATCCAGTCGACGAATTTTCCAGGACTTCCTTGACAGTTCCAAAGAATGGGTCAAGAATTTGAAGTACGTTTCAGCTGATCTCTGGGAGACATACATCCCTTACGAAAACCTCCACCACCTGGAATGCGTCGCTTTGTTTCTTCGATGCAAAGCCGCAGTGAAATTTGCGAAGAGAGTCTTTGAAAAGCTTCGCAGCTGCTCCAATCTGCAAGGATTGATTCTTCGTGTACGGGATGATCTTCAGCTGCGAGCACTTGATCCATTGCAGCAAAATTTGGAGTTTGCTGCAATTACGGGTACCAATTTTTGCAGCGCAATGGCTGCGCTAAATTTTATCCGGCGGAGTCAAAATTCGTTGAAGGATCTTTGGATCCAAACGGATCACACGAAGGTGAGAGCTTGATCCAAAGCTTCACGATTGCATTATTTGTTAACGAATTTCACACAGGATCTGGAAGAAATAATTCCAGCCTTGAAGCCTTTCAAGCGACTCCGAAATGTCGTGTTTGTCTTGAAGAACCCATTTGGCAGAGACAGCATCGGCGTGCTTGAACGAGAATGGTTCGAGGCCGCATTGAAGAAACAGATTGATCCGAAATGCGCTTTGAAGCAAGCGACGCTGTTTCTTCCAAAATCAGTGAATTCAGGATCTGATTATTCATCGTACACCTACAACTTTGAGCTAATGGACGATGATGAAATTTCGTTGAAATTTGTCACCCGATTTTACTTCGAATGGCTGAAGTTTATACCAGACAAGGAAGAACTCGGTCAGCTTTCGATACTGGAAGTTATTGCCGCCATCTTTCGTTGACGTCATTTGTGCGGTTCGTCGATTCCAAGCGTTTTTCGTATGGGCTTTTTTAAATTTTGGGAGTACCGTACCGCATTCCCACATTGAAGATTTCATCTGCTAAGAAAAAATCGTGAAAAACTATGTTGGCCGTTTTGTGTACCTCTACGTATTCGTCACCTTGCATGAAAAATATTTTAAAGCTCATGAAAGAAATCGGGATATATTTGTTTGAATTCTAGCCGTCTGACGATTCGTCTTCCGGACATGAAAATTTTTTAAAATCTTCTCACCCTTCGGAATTTTTTTTTAAATGCACTGCGATTGGTGAAAAATCCTGATAAATGATTGAAGTTGTACATATATAGGCTCAGTTGAGATAGAGCCTTGAAAGATTAAGTCATTAAATACAGCTTAGTTAATTATCCTTGCTCTGCTATTCAAAATTGTTAAAAAATCTGAATTTCTTCGTGAAACGTTTTTGTAGAATTTTTTCAATTTTAAAATGTATACCGAAAAAAGGTCCATATTGTCATTAGTTACTGAAGTTTTGCATTTCCATTATTTATAGTACGATAGGAATTATTTCCAAGGTTTTCATGCAACTTTTTATTGTTTTAAAATTGTTGAAAAGTTGCATTGACGAACTGTATATGGGAAAAGCTTTTTTTCAAAATCTGAACGTCTTAACTCTATGATTTACTTCAAGCATGTAAGTGTATTGTGTTTGAAGCTGGGGTTCCCACATGTGCATCCAGGATGCTGCCATTTTTTTTTTGTTTCAAGATTGAAAATAGTGTTCATGAGTTGAATTTTCGTAAAAAGCGGAAAGAAGCATTTGCGTGGCAAGAATGAAATCTTGTGAAGTTCTTCGTCAGAAGCTTCGAATCCGGCATACAGCTCAAATATAACGCAGCCGTGCTCAATGGTGAATGAACTCCAACGCGTTATTCCGTATTTAATTGGGTAGATGTCGCTCCAAAATCTGGGGAAGATCAGAAGAAAAACTCTGCCGTATCGAGCCCCGAGTCTTGAATCACTTGAAATGTTCACTTAACATTGATTACCTAATAAATAGCGTCTTTTCCATGAATACATCGGAATTGCATTTACGGCTGTAATGTAATGCCTTAAGATTTTTTGAAAATGCACTGCCGCGAAACTTCCCTCATTTATCCAACTAGATGTCGCCTCAAAATTCGCGGAAACACAGGTGATGATGGTAAGTTCTCTTCGTAGAAAAGATGGTGTGCTTTCTTGAAGGTTACTGGTTTTGTGAGTGACATAATGCTCTTTTGCGAGTCCACGACGCGATGGTGCATGTGAGTAACTCGGTTGCGTGCTGGTGCGCGCAATCTTCATTTGCGTCTACGTGACGTGCGGATCTCCTCAATTTTAATAGATGACAAGTTCTTGAAACTGGAAATTTTATTATTTTTCCCCCGCGTTCAATAGGTTACAAGAGAAGTAAAAGGTTATTCTTACTTCTGGACAATGATGATTGGCGATTAATGTTGGGCGAGTTCAATCGGCCGAAGTGTTCATCTCAACCTTTGTTGCTGTTGTACAAGAGTACAACTAAGAACTGAGGGTGCATTTCATGGCCCCCCCCCCCCCCCATCTCACCTGCTCCCTTCACCCCCTCCCGCAAGCACACAGCCTCGCAACCCACCTTTTTTTTTCCTCCCTCGCAAGCCCAGCCAATCGCATCCCCATTTTTTTCAGCCTCTCGCAAGGAACCCAAATGCAGTTGCATTTGCGACGCAATTGCGTTTGCGGTTCCTTGCGACGCAATTAACACCCCTGTGTACAAGTAATTACAGGCTTCACGTACAGTGCGCCGTACGTTTTTTTCTCGAGTTTGGTCATGGGTGCCGTATTGTGTGATCCGCGGGGTTTCGAATATGGTGATCTTAAATGTGGTTATACTTGTGGGGTTGCGGCATGGAGCGACGCGGCGTGACCCGAGAAGAGCGTCCTCGCTCGGGCACGCCAGCATGGCAGCAGAAAAAGGTGCGCGCGGATCTGGATCTCGCACCCGGTTTGCCGCAGTGCGGTAAACTGGGTGACGTGATACGAATCAAACGGAACCGAACCAAAGGATTCGGTTGGCACGCAAAACGTCATTCGAGAGAGAGCTACGCTGGGATACGGTTCTGTGAAGAATTGTCTTGTGTGTCTGATTCGGTGTTCTTAATTTGGGTCTTGACTATTCTGTTACTCGGAAACTTTGCCTGGTTGTTCTGTTCTTTGGTTGGTTTGTGTGAACACATTGCTAAGGGACTCCAATAAGGATCCGGCCTCTTACAGGCTGAGTGGCTGTTTCCCATTCATTTTCGAATTCTTTGTCATATCCGGCCCGACAATACTGTAACGAAATGCCATGGCATCCATACATGAACTACAGTATTTTAAATCCAGAACTATAATTTCGGTCTGAACTACCGAGAAATACACGCGCTTCTTCCTCTCGTCTTTGATTATTGTATTTAGAGTTGAGATTTTCAAGTTGAATATCATCCACATCGAGTTTCTCCTTGATCCCTGCATTCTTCAGTATTGGGGAAGCTCATTTTCTTCGTCTGCGTACTGCACCGGGAATGGACGGAGAAGCATCCTTGAGTACATTATAGCGTGGAGGAGGTATTGTGAGTTACTGTCGCGGCGATAGGTTTCGTGAATCCACGACGCGATGCGTGCTTTTCTGTTGAAACTGAACTTCGGCCTGCGAGACCTGTCTTACATCGAATTGGGCAAATGTGGATCCATGGAAGATGGTTTACAAGACCGGAGAGGAAAGCGAAACCGAAGAACAACTGAGTTTTATACAGAAGAGTTGTATCCTGAGCGTAGTCACAAGTTGACAAGTATTCCAATGCGTGAGTTTCTGTGGTTAAATCCGCTCGTGATTCTCCTGTTACATTTTATGCTTCACCTTCAGATGTCCACAAATTGGAGGATGGGGTTAAACTTGGAGCAGCTTGTCCAATACAACATCGCTTGCATAAAGTTTTTTTTATCGAAGAAGATCTCAGCAGTGGTGAATTTGAGTTGAAACCGAATGAAGAACCTGACTTCAGGTTCACGGTTCCGGAAATACGAATCAATGGTGAAGTTTTCTGGTTTGATGAGAAGGCATCCGTGTTTAGATTGAAGCATGGAGATGTCATCGAATTCTTTCTTCGCCACATTCGTGAGTTGACTTTCACAAGTAAAACTAAAGGATTCGTGATTTTTCAGCAGTACAAAGCACAGCACTATATATACAGCATAGAGTACAGTACTAAACTAGCTAATGTTCTCAATTTTAAGCGACGGAGCCATGGCAAGCAGAGACGTGTATTCTCATATATGTTTTGGTATAAATAAACTCAACTATCTTATGACCTAGATTCTAGAAAAAGTGGCGTATGTGCTGGTGCTGGAATAAATAATTCTAGAGAACCATGTATTCCAGCGGAAACTACTTCATTTGGCCGAAAAGCTGAACAGTTACCGTAAAATTGGGTTTTGTCTTTTGCTGTTACAGTATCTTCCACGCTTTAATGACGATGACTTGCTTGCTATATAATGTTCTCTAAAACGAACTGTATTGAACTTGAAACAATTTCTCAACACGAACTATCGGATCATTAATGAAAAGCTCAGTGCAACATTCTATTGATCTTTTCCGATTGCCATTGTAATGTACAGCTAGGTAGAATCAGAATATGTAAGAACAGCGTAGCTTTTGTAATATAAAGGAAAATTAATTTTGTGTCTGCAGTGGCTTCATCTTGAGAGAAGCTCATTGGCTGCACTTGTTGAGGATAACGTAACTCCTGCAAAAATAGTTCCCGTTTCAGTGATATTCGTTGTTTGAATTTGCGATTTTGGAAAATATGAAGCTTTTCGCAATGAAACACCTTCATCATCGGCTTTTAATGAAGATTTCTGCACGATTTTAACTGCACTTTCAAAGGAGATTGTGAAACGGTACCCAACTATATATTTACAGCATAGTTGCGGAGTATATACAGTTTCACTTGCAATATATTTCAGCGATCTACATGGTCATGTTTCTCTTGGCTGACAAATCTTTGGAGAGAGTGGCACAAACTTCTGCACTGCTGTCATGTCCTTGGCCGGTTCTACGGAAAATTTTCCAGTTTTTGACTCCGTTTGAAACCATGGAAAACCTCATTCCGGTGTGTCAGCAATTTTTTCAGCTAATGAGGAGTGGTGCAATTTGGACTTGTCTCAATTTCAAAGTTGTTTCTAACGAAACATACTTTCCACACGGTCACATGGGGGATTTCTGCAAGGTGATCGCTCCGTGAGTTGCCGTCATGGTTTTGCTTTTTAATGCCGAATCCTACGTGAATTTTCCGTCCATTGGAAAGTAATTAAGCAGGTTTAAGGATGTGCCCGAGGGAAAAAGTATCTACAGTATATACAGCGCAGTGCTATGAGCGCTGATTCGGAACGGGGACGTGTGGTAATTATTGAGAAAGTCAGTCTAATTTTTCTTGAAAATGAAGAAAAGCTATTGAGTTATTTTTGGGAGATTTTGTAGCGTGCAATAAAGTTTTGCCTGATTCACTCAACTTTCAATGGGATTCGGCATTTTTCAAAATCTCCTGTCTTGAATTCGTGAACCATGAGCATCTCATCACCGTAAACGAGAATTCTTCTCATCCTCACAATTTCTCAGGCGTATTCAGAGGATTTTAGTTGACGTCAACGATGAATTGGGTCGAGGATACGAAAAAACACCAAGTATTTTTCGTCCGTTGTTCAAATCAAATGAATGGAGGATTCTTAAGGTGCTGGAAATACGCTCTTTGCATTGTGTTGATTTCGTGGGAGCAGTCGTGGAAAACAGGGAATTTTGCGTCAAATTGGAAACCTTGGTCACTTGCTTTGATCTCCTTTCCCTCTGCGGAAATGATGGATTAAGACTTTGTTTTCCGAATGTTCGAGAAGTTACTCTGCCGTGTTCTTTGCAGGATGTATCCTCTTATGTGGATTTGAAGCTGGTTTTCCCGAGGCGGGT